AAGGTGGGTAATGGCTAATGCTGTGCCGATCTCTGTCCATTAATATTTATTGAATTTGAGGCTGAGGAAGGGTATTGAATATTTATGGATAATAACCACATGAAGTGGTACCATACTAATGAGGCAGTACAGGCAGAATCCAACGGAAACTGAATTTGAAAATCGCATTTGTTTGTAAAATAATTTAGGAAATACTGATTGTTTACAATAATTGTGGCCTGAGACTTACATATCAACTCATCTTCCAAAACACAGCAGAAAGTTAAGTTTATTTCCATGAGGCCTCTGCAATGGACACACTGTTCTGCTGGAATGCAGCAAGATGTCGAAAATGGCCATGAAAAAAGGCAAGAGACAGGCTCAAAGGCTCAAAACAGGCTCAAGATTACCAAAGAATTGCAGAAGAAATGCTCGCAGTCATATTGATATTCACCAAATACTCTGTTATTTATTCTTTTTCTGAACAGTGCACAGTACTGGCAATGAAAACCAGGAAAATAAAAACAACTTGAGGCTTGTAAGGCTAGAGTTTGAGGTCTCATCATCCTGTCAGGCACAAAGCAGCGAAGCTTTCTTCACTTAGTCAGTGAGAGAGTTGACTAAAGCTTTAGGAAATAGTGTCATCTAATGTTTTTCTCAGTTATCTGAAAAGCAAAATAAGACATGTGGTCTTTGTTCATTATATGAAATGTCTGATGATGTGAACTATTAAAAATAAAAGGTTCCAGAAGGGTCGCAACAATGCCATAGAAGGACCATTTTGGTTCCCCAAAGAAGTTTCAGTGAACAGTTCTTAAAAGAACCATTTTTTTAACTTGGTGTTAAGAACATTGTTTTCACTATAAAGAACCATTTGTGGAATGGAAAGGTTCCACGGATGTTAAACGTTCTTCATGGAACCTCTGATGCCAATAAAGAGCCTTTATTTTTGAGAGTGTGGTGGGATGTGCAATCCATACATCCTTGCTTTGAGTCTATGAGGCATGTTAGGGTCCATGCCCATATGTGGCATACTTATCCAAAACCAATGGGCCACTGACAGCACAACATCCAAATTTCCTGGGGAGAGATGAATATGCAGACATAGGTTTCCAAATTTAAGATGGCTGCCCACGTGTGGAGTTGTGTGGAGTGTGTAATGAGTCATGTAATGGCAGATCAGGAAGAAATCAAAATAAGTCAGAGCTCGTCCTGTTTTCTACTGCCATTTTGCTGTTAAATCACATGCTAAACTTTTATTTGCCCATACAAAAGAAGTCAATGGTCACCAAAACTGTTTGGTTACCAACATTCTTCAAAATATCTTCTTTTATGTTTCACAGAAGAAAGTAAGGCTAACAGGGTTGGAATGGCGTGGGTGAGTAAATGATGACAGAATTTTCAGTTTTGGCTGAACTATCCATTTAAGCAGCATTTTTTTTTTTTTTGCTTTAGTAAAATATATTTTTTACATATTTGTACTGAAAAACAAGTCAAAAATACTGATTAAGCTGATGCTGCTACACTCTCAGAAAAAAAGGTACAAAAGTTGTCACTGGGGCAGTACCTTTTTTAAAAGGCACACCTTTGTACCAAAAGAGTCCATAATGGTACCTTAAATGTACACATTAGTACCTAAAGTGTACATATTAGTACCTAAATGGTACAAAAGTGTACCGTTTGAAAAGGTACCGCCCCAGTGGCAGCTATTGTACCTTTTTTTCTGAGAGTGTAGTAACACTTGTTACAGGGTTTCTGGGCAAGAAACTAAAAATGCGGATTTATTTTAAGGCAGACATTTGACAGTTAGCCCGTCACCTGTAACATGAGAGGCTGAAGGTCATAACACACCTGAAATTAGAGGAACCACAGACAGACACCAGCCAGCCTTTTACATTTTCAATGCATACACATATACACATATCATAGCAGGATATCCACATGCTTTCCTATATGAAAAGCTCATGGACGCAGTGGAATGTTCTGAAGATGATAAATCCAATTATTAAATAATCCGAAATTAAATTTCGGTTTCACTTTTCAGTCCAGTTCCAAAGTTATCTTTGTGTCACAATGTCTGTGCCCTTCCCATGCCACTATTGTGTTTAGATCCCAAAATACTCTACTGCATTTTTTATGAGGCCTTGCAGACTATCTGTGTCTGTTTTTGACTCACTTTGACTAATTTGAGCAGGTCTCTTTTCTTTTCGGAAAACCTTTGTGTCCTTCTTCTTTAAAGGGATAGTTCAATGAAACATTCAAATTCAGTCATCATTTACTCACCCTCATAGTTACAAACCATATGAAGGAGAATTATGCTTTTTCATTCCATTCTGAATAGGCACTGTAAATTTCAAAAAGCACACAAAAGCCCATTTTCATCAAACTAGCCAAACTAGCCCATCATTGATAACATTTTTTTAATGCCTCCGTTAGAAAGATATGAGCTAAGAATCTCAATTATTGGTGTCTTACAGCTACAGTGAGGACATTTCTGATATGTCAAATGTGTCCTCTTCATACCCAGCACTTTTTAGTTAAGACTGTTTTTATTAGACACAACATGTAATTTCATGCCCCTCTCTAAAGTAATTAGCTTGGCACTGATATCTGTTTTTGACCAGTGGGAAATAAGGCTGTAATTAGCCCAATTTCTGTATTCATTATCTCTTTTTATCATTGAGATACAGCATTAAGTGGGCTCCTTCAAACTAAAACTCAATACCACAAATACTGGAGTTGGATGTAAAAAAAAAAGTTCTTTTGATGTTGTTGAAATTTTACTTTTGGTCTCTCTGTACACAAACCCTATAGTGTGTGCTGTGTAATATACTTCAACTACATTCCAGATGTAAAATTAAAGAAGGAATTCAAATCTGCCAAGTATGCTGATTAAAAACACAAATAAACTCATGACTTCATTTAAGAATCTGAATTTGTGTGAGCAGTTGAAATTTTTATGTCCAGAAACTTGTGATCTAAAGATGTTTTTGGTAATTTTAGATGTATTATTTATTGGAAAAATGCAGGTGTATTGATTATTGTTTTCTTCATGAAAAATTCAGCACTGGTCTAACTAACATATCTCCTAGGGGCAATATATCTCTTATTGCTATATGCACCGTAGCATGTTTTTCTATTAGGTATTGACGAAAATGTCTCATGCATTTTTTTCCTCCCAAAGCTGACCTCAGTCATATATTAGCAGCGTTAGATAAGGCTTCTGAATCACAGTCCAGGAGGGAATCGAACTGTGCATGTAACATAACTAAAACTGGCACATTCATTAAGTTGCTCTCTTCAAAAATGGGCTAAATTCCAATCAGACATCCTGGCAGAGCGAAATGATGAGAACCCAAAGCCGGGTGACATCTCACGCATAGCTGACATCTCCTGCCAGATAAACGGCCACACGCTTTCTCTGTCTCTCTGAACCACTCACAAATTACAGCAATTTCTGTCACTCCGGCATTTATAGTTTTGTCACTTGAAATCTATTTTTATCCAAACACAAGCAGCTTTGTCTGCTATTTAGCCCCTGACCAGCCAAGAAGGTCTATATTACCTGGAAAGAGCGATCCGTTAGCATTTCCATTCATCTCCATGGCAATTGATATCTTTGGTCATGAGTGTTTCGAAATATATTTTTGAGGCAATCACCTGAAACATAACATAACTGACTTTCTTTCTTCTGTTGAACATAGAATAAGATATTTTGAAAAAAAGTCAACGCTCAACAAAACTCTTTGGTTACCAACATTCTTTAAAATATCTTATTTTATGTTCCACAGAAGTCATACAGGTTTAGAAAGACATGAGAGTGAGTAAATAATGACAGGAGTACATTTTTGGGTGTACTATCCATTTAAGTAGCATTTTTATTTTTATTTTTCAGTAAAAATAGATTTTGGGTTGTGTAGAAAAAATATCTGCAGTTTGATTCTTCAATAAATGTATCTTCTTTAACAATGTTCACATTTTTCTTGAAAACCAGAAGACAAATATACTGATTAACAAAATGATTTGTGCAGTGTGCGAGTTTCACCATCTTTGCATGGAATTGTTCTCCGCAAAAGATTGTTTTATTTTCTACTGTATCTACCCAAATGAGGGACCAGGCAATTGTGAAAAATGAACTACTGTCTTTATGGCATCCTAAATCAAGCCTACTCATTACTGGATTAGAGGTTGCATGGCAACGCTACAAAGAAGGCCAAAGAAACTAAAGTTTCATCTCTACAGATGAGGAATCAGAGGCTAGTTATTCCCAAACCCATGTTGCTTCTGTTGAGTCTTCTCATGGGGTGTGATCGTACTGTATGAACAGTGAGCCATTCCAGTTATCTGAAAGATGGGATGGGTTGTGAGCAACAAATAATGGCGATCATCTCCTTGCCACCATCCAGTGCTTTTCTCAAGCTGGTTAAAAAAAAAGGGATTGGGATTAGTGCTCTGCATTTTTAACCCATCCAAAGTGCACACACACAGCAGTGAACACACACACACCGTGAACACACACCCGGAGCAGTGGGCAGCCATTTTTCCTGCGGCACCCGGGGATCAGTTGGGGGTTCGGTGCCTTGCTCAAGGGCACCTCAGTCGTGGTATTGAAGGTGGGAGAGAGCGCTGTACATTCACTCCCCCCACCTACAACCCGCAACCTTTGGGTTACGAGTCCAACTCTCTAACCATTAGGCCACGACTTCCCCAATAAGTGTTTTATAAGTGTTAAATAAGTGTTAAATAATTGTTATAGATACAGGTGGGAATTTTTCATTTACCACAGTGAATATGTGATGTTAAAAACTGTCTAGGCTTCTCACATGCTGCATATTGATTTTAACACACTGCTATTCAATGCCTGGAAATACTTGAATACCAGTGTGAAGAAACACAGATTTGTCTGTCCTGTAAAAGGCATGTGGCCTAATTATGGATGGGCGATAAATTAGTATTGATATTTATTGGGGAAAAATACTCAGTATCGATAATAAGCTTTTGTGTTATTTTCAGTATTTCACCTACATCTAGACAATCAGGTGTGTGTTGCTAAAAATTCTGCATGTTCTTCATGTCTCTGCGTGAATGACGTTTGTGGTGTTTTCAGTTTTCACTATATGAGGGCATGAATGCATGAACTTCATCTCCAGATCTGCTTCGCCAGCATTTCACCATTTAATTTAATAAAATAATCCACTAAAATTGTCAGATAAACACAGAATTTCTTCACTAAAAACTGCCAAAAGTTATTGGTTTAACTAAGAAATTATGACATAAATATATTACAATTGTATATTTAAATGCCAAACTGCCAAAAAATAAATGTTTGAACAAAGAAATGAAGACAGAAATATATTACTGTTACGTTGTGATATACTATATAAAGCTCATTCTTCTATTGTATATGTAAATGTTCTTCTCCAAATACTACTAATTTCATTACATTTTAAAAGTTTGATTCAATTGTCAGTTTTTAATGAATTAATTCTATTAGACACTATTTTTGCTGATATTTTATTATAATTATTATTAAATGGTCATATTCCATGTTATACGTCTTGTTTTGGACTTTCATGTTGAAGTTTTGTTTCCTTAGTTTCCAATTTGCTTTCCTAGTTGTATTTTCTCTTGATTAATTTATTGATTGTATATTCTTGTATTTCTTGTTTTCTTATTCTCCCCTGTAAAAATAGCCCCTGTGTTTCTTTGTACTTTGTTAAGTCTTGGTTGTTGTCTCTAGCGTTTAGATGGTGGCCTCAGTTCTGATCTTTGTTTGCATTCTGTTTTTGTTCAGTTTTCTTGTGTGGTTTTGGATTTTTCTTTATTAAAAGTAGTTTATTCTGAATTTGGATCCAGCTCCCATTTGGTTATGAGTTCACATTTATCACGTTATCAGTCATAAAACATTGAATTCAGAAAGAATAAAATGCACAGAATTGTGTTTCATGGGGCCCTAAATTAAAAGAGGAATACTCTGTGAAGGACTCTTGTAAACAAACAAATTTACATTTTGCATTTATGCATTTAGCAAACACTTTTATCCAAAGTGACGCTGTATTCAAGCTATACATTTTTGTCAGTTCTTCAGTTTTGTAATTACATTCATTCTTAAGGCCTAACAAACATGTGGAATACAGTTCCTTCCCCATTAAATGAATAATATAATAAATGTTGATATAAAATGATACGGAGAAGAATAGCACTATTTCTGGCCATACTGCCCAGTCCTGGGCCAAACCGAAGCATGCATCTCAGGGTTAATGCTAATAACGTGAATCAATTGTAAATCAGTGCTGTGTCTTGTATAACGCCACAAGTGTCTCTTTGCTTCAATATTAATAACCAGGAGGTAGTATCATACTCCGTTTGACAAATGACCATGTCAAAAAGAAAATGTGTCACTGTCAGAGGATATGAAAAACCATTACCTGCCACCATGCCTACAGCTTGGACCCAATGGATGCCATAATCAAGTTAGAAACTCAGGACAGAGTCCACAGAAACAACATTTCTGAAGTTACAGTAGGTGTGAAGATAAGGTTGTGTTAGGTTGAGCTCCGCATTTGAAGGATTGATTCTGGAGACACTCAATAATCATTCTTGGAACCCCAGGACAGGCATTTCATTTTTTGTGACAGGACATTTTACTCTGCCTTTATTACAGTTCCACTGCATAATGACTTATTTTCATCCCCTCTTTTGATTAGAACTGGAATTAATCTTACTGCCTAGGAGATTATGGATCACAGCGTAATTAATTTCCGCACATTTAATTAGATATTCTGCACACCTGGTTTATAAGCATATTAACTGATGCAGTTATGGGATCTTCATGTTTGGAAGCCTGGAGTCATGAACTGTCAAATTGTCTAATCTAATTATCTGAGATTATTTCCTTTTTTGCTTAAAGTCATTTCCCTTATGAGCAACATTTCCAAATGATGTAGATGATTGATTATATGAATCAAAATATGATTTGATTTGCTCACTTTCTAATTATCACTAAAGTGTGGAAGCACGTTTATGCCACGGGATAAAAAAATAAAAAGGTAATGCGACCCAATGCCAAGGTCATGGGTTTAATTCCCAGGGAGTGCATGAACTTATAAAACGTATACCTTGAATAGAATGTTAGTTGCTTTGGATGAAAATCTCTGAGAATACACTACACTCTCCAAAAAAGTGTGCAAAAACTGTACCTTTAAGGGTACAACAGGTTGTTACCGGGGCAGTACTCTCAAAGGGACATCTTTGTACCTTCTTTACCCTCTAAAGGGTTCATAACAGTACCATAAGAGTATATGGTATATAAGGTACAAAGGTCCTTTTAAGGGGTACTGTCCCAGTGTCAAGCTGTACCCCCTAAAAGTTACAATTTTGCACATTTTTGTTTTTGAGTGTACTGTTCAAAAGTGTGGGGTCAGTAAGATTTGTTATTAAATAAATTAAGGCTTTTATTCATCAAGGACACAACAGATTGATCAAACTGATTGCTGTTTTTACTGTATTTTTTATCAAATAAATCCAGCCTTGATGAGCAAGAGAGACTACTTTCAGAAACATTTTCAAATCTTAACAAACCTAAACTTTTGAATGGTAGTGTATGTAGATATGAAATGTAAATGGCTGTTCCTCTGTTGACTTTCTTGTAAAACCAACAAATAAAATAAAACAACGGATACCAACAGTGTCAACTGTACTATAGCCTGAGTGATTTTTAGAGAGAAAACTGAAATAGAAGAAAAATGTATTTGGCTTCAGCCCACTAGTGTCTGAAGTGTGTGTTAAGTGTAGAGCCCTTCAGTCCTGTGATACAGACGCTGGAGTCTTGTAGCAAACAGCCATCCAGCTAGAAGAAATAAAAGAGGTTTCCAAGACAACAGGTCAAGGAGAGTAACAACTAAAACACATCTGAAGAACATAAAAAGATCAGGCAGCTCTATTGCACTGTAGCACAGTGCCACAAAACACGATTTCCATCGCAAAAAATACAACACTCATTCTGAGGATAATTCACAAAGGAAGAAGTAGACGAACGGTGTCTGTTACAGCTTAGTATGCTGTTTTTTTGTTTCCCAGTTGCTCTCCGGTTTCTGGCTGTACTTTCTCTGTCTCATGCAACTCATCAGAGTGGTTAGAAATAATACCCACAACATCTGGTTGGCCCCTCATGCCAGCCAGCAGAAGGCCAGTCAATTTGCCATGCTCCTGTGCCCCCCTTCAGCTGGCCAGATGTCAACTAATGCAATCTCTAGAAGAGAATTTATGATTTACACCATCTGCGACCCTCAATATTAAAGTCTTTGCTGTAATCAAGTGTGAAAAAAAATTAATAATAATTTTCCATTGTGACCATCGCTTGCCAGTGCTTTTGGCATGAACATGTTTTGACATTAGCAGTTCAAACGGATTCGATTAGCACAGGAGAGCCTGGCTAGAGCTCCAGAAATCCATGACTAATGATCTGCTTCCTGGGGATATAGAGTGAATCACCAAAGAGAAAACTCACAAGTTGTGTTGATGGGACAATGAAACAGCCCTCAAGCAGTTTAAGATATTGTTATATGTTAATTTAGCGGACTCTGATGGGAGGTATCCCAACTGCTGTGAGACAACGCACTGAGAAAGACTTCTGAGGGTGTTAATGTGTAGAAGAACAACAGATTCTGATATAGCGTTTAGCCTTCCTGAATAATGTGCATAATGCTCGCCCACAAAAAAATAAGCAGTACCCAGAAGCATCATAGTCATTCAGTCATTCATAGTCATTATTTACTTATATGTGACCCTGGACCACAAAACCAGTCTTAAGTCGCTGGGGGGGCAAATCCAGACCTAATTTAATAACGTTATATATAGATGAGCCAGGACTGACACTGATTTCCCTTCAAATAAATAAATCAATAAATGAAAATGAATGAATAAATTAATTAATGAATGAACAAGCAAGCAAACAAATAAGATGAGTAGGTCACGATGCCTCTGGAAGCATTGCTTTTATTTTAGAATGATAACATTTATGGAAAAACTTTACATCTCATATCTGTTGTTTGTTTCTATTTCTGTCTCTTTGCTTTAGAGGGTGCCCAAATAAACAGTGTGGGACCTGGGTCATCTATGATGCAAGCTATGACACAATACCCTGCCCTTGGACAGGTACCTGTAGCCCACCCCTATGAACCATCTCAACCTGGAAAGGAGCTCAACAAGTATGCTTCGCTCAAGGCTGTGGGTAAGACGGCCATGCTTAAATGTGCTTTTACTTGGATTTTATTTAGTTGTGTTAATCAAGCTCATTACTGAGAAAATAATGTTTGAAACTCAGTGTGATTACTTTCTGCTTGAGTTCTTAATCATGTGGTCTTGACCTGAGATCTTTTTGTTGTACTGGCAGGCCATGTTCTGGATCTTAGACGGTCTCATATTGGTCTGGATCTTAGGGGTCTGGTCTTGACAAATGTTTTATGGGCATTTACTTAGTGCACAGTTACAGCATGTTCTCTCTATACATGGTCACAGTCCTTAATTTTTTGCAAACACTGACGAGCTTAATTAATTTATTAGAAAATATATATTCTGATTTTGATGTCAGGAGAGCTGCAAACCAGCATAAAACATGCACAGAATCAGACATTATGGTTATGAATTATAATGTTGGTAAACAAAAAATGTTTTGGTGAAGTCTCTCATTTGTCTTTCCCAGTCACTGAAGAATTGTCTATGTCCATCAGTAACAGTGCTATCTTGTTCTATCAATAGTGCCGAGTAGTAATTGATTACATGTAATCTGGGTTACGTAATCAGGTTTAAAAATAATTAATTACATTTTAAAATTCTTATAATCAGATTAGTTACTTTTTATGGATTACATGATTATATATTAGTCACACATTATTTTGACCTAAAATATTTGCTTGAAGTCCCCCTGAGATTTTTAATTTAAATTTAATATTTCAATAAATTAGCAAAGCATTCACATGTTCACAGTTCTAAAAATGTCTACGAATCGATCAAACTGATCGGAGTCGGATAATGGTCACAAACAAAGATTTTTATTGTTCAAGTATTGTTTTTTTTTTTTAAGTTTACTTTTTGTGATTTAAAGGTCCCATATTGAAAACTGAAATTTCCTGGCTTTTTTTCATGATAACTGAGGTCTAGGTGCTATGTAACTACCATATAAGTTTCAAAACCGTCAATCCACAGTCAAATGCACACAGCCTGCATAAAGTAGCTGTGCCTTTTCACGAGCCGTTGTGACTTCCGTAAAAAGGTGATGTCAGAACTACAGCTGAGCAACAACAACACGGAAACATCTCGAGAAAACGCTGTTCAGTCGATGTATGTCAGGAAACTACATCATTGCACAGGCTTCCGAACTAGGGTTGGGCCGATAGACGATGCCAATACCGATTTCGGAAAGAAAATGACGTGTACTACGGAACCCCTAAAGTTAATAAATACGAGATGAGAGGAAAATATATATTTCAATATTTTCTCTCGCAGTTATATCATTGGATAATTATACTGTTTAAATTGCGGGCATCAGGCAGGGAGCCACTATTATGCCTGGCATTGAAACTGCTTTTGAATGCACGATTTTAGTTTCACTTTCGAGATTCGCGATCGCACATACTTTGTTTATACTATGGAGCGGCAGTACTTACCACACATTTTACAAGATTAGCTGTTTGTCAGAGGTGCTCAGGATCTGCAATTCACCATCATCCTCAGTCATCTCTCCTTACTCTGTTTATGTGGTAAGTGAAATTTTATGTA